TCCATTACTGAAGTTCCTTTCCTACATAATGAGCAGAAATCTCAGAAGTCCATAATAAACATGTTATTCTGACTGAGATGCTGCCTAGAATTAAAATGGAACAATATACTCGATCAGATTAACACATTAATGAGATTTTTCACAAATTGCAAAGATGGTGACTTCTGAGTTTATTTAAATGACAATTGCAACATATATATATTTGTGCCCCAGGCTTACAAACCTTTGGCATTTTCTCTCCTAAAGCACTAGTATTAATGATTTAATTACTACCAATATTTTTCCTTTCCCATCTTGATTTTTTTTGTTGTTGTTCTAATTATCAAAATTATCATAAAGAAAGACCGTATCTTGTATAGTAGCTTAGATCACCAGAGGGGCATGAAGAGAGTTTTGTCCCTCATTTGTATAACCTCTCTTGAGGTGCCAAAAGGGAATCTCTCTAACAATAAAACCACAGAGGCAGTTCTTGAGAGTTTTATGCCTCAATAAGTAATTTGCAGGGAGGAAGGAAAGAATGCATTAGGCCAAGGAATGTGAAATTTATCAAAGGTTAAAGTGAAATACAAGTTGTGGTGCCTACTGCTTGTTTCATGTGCACCAGCAGACATGAAGGATAATTCCCGACTTGAGGCATGTCTTCACCCTGGAAGAAAATGGATATCTTGTTAAGTAGGGCTATGCTAGAAGGGTCTCAGACTGGCTCCAGATGTGACAAGGGATTCCCAACTGGCTGTTGAAGACCACCTCCCCCAGACACTGCACCAGCGACATCTCCTTCCTCAGCAGCTCCTTCTTCTCAAAAGGAGAATCTTCCAGCTCTTTCAGAAACCTTTGACCTAGGCCCTGGCTCCAACCTCGTACTTCAAACTTGTTACTCCAATGTTGACTCCCAGAGGGGAAATTATCTTTCTTCCTGCTATCCCCTGGACTCTCGCAGGAGCTGAAGATAATGTTTGCCTGGGACTTGACCTTCCAGCAACAACAAATCAGGAAAAAAGACAGACAAACAAAACAGTGAAGCTACAAGTCTTAACTACTCCATTTGAGCAAGGCGATTCCCGGGCAGCCTGCAATGACCTCTCATCCCATATACTTTTGACCAGGAGCAACTCCTGGCCCTTTGGCTTGCTGGGATTAGCAGGAGTCTCACAGGGTCCCTCTGCAGTGCCCCACGTGGCCGCCTTGCCACTGAGCCAATGCAGTGAGCAGCTCCCAGATAAAACAGGTCAGGCTTTCTAATAAGCTATGCAGGAGATTTGGACACACAGTCACACTGAAATTGCGAGATGTTGGGTATCGGTGCCCTCTAGATGACTTTCTATTTTCCACTTCATGTAAGTAACCCCACATACCCCCTTCTTTTCCCCTGTAAATGAGTGGCCCATCACCTCAGGCTGCAACCACTTGGTTACTGGAGACAGAAACCAGCTGGCTTGTTGAAGCATTTCTCAATATCCCAAACTCATCCTAATTTCCTTTTATTATGCCTCTACCTGTCACATTCTTTGTGGAGAAAGGAAGAAATGCATTAACTAGAGTGCAGTGAGCACTCCCTCCTCAGCCTTCTACCCCTCGCTACCTCCACGACCTCACAGAGATTTCTCTAAAAATGTGTAATTAGGTTCTGCAAACTGACTTCCTGACTGTATGCACTCTTTTCAAGTGCAGAAGCCCTAAGTGGTGGTGTGTGTTTTTCAGAGCTGCTTTGAGTACCACTTCATTTTTCTAGCTTTTGTTTATGAAGTTATATTTACTTACCAGTGTCCAAGTACATCAAAGCCAGGTCCATTTGAAAAAATCTGAAAGCTCATAGATGATGTCACTTACTGGCCTGGATTTTGTGTATTCTGAAAAAGGTGTTATAGAAAATAGCTATAAATAGTCTGTGTTGAAAAGGCTGTGTTTGCACATGAGCTTGTATATGTTTGTCCATCCTTGTACTAGTTTGCCAGAATACATAAAAAAATACTGTCCTGAGCAAGGGTTGATTTAATCATGATCTAAAGTGCTCTGCTAACACAGGGTGTACCAAAGCTCATTCAGTGCTGAATCTGTGCCAAAGAGCTTTTCAGATAAATTACAAATTAATGCAATACCTCTTGTCAGCTTAAAGTATTTTTATTCTCTACTGTTCTCCCTCTCTTCAGGTGGGGTCTCCTGGTCCAGTTGTGGGCTTTTTCTTTTAACTATCATCATTTTCACAAGCTGTTGAGGAGAAACATTCCTCAAAAGCATCCATATTCAAAATTGAACTAGCCTACTTAAGACTCTTACTGCAAACTGGAATCCCTATAACACAAATGCGCCCTCCTCACCCCAGGTATGCTTCAGCCTGGGCTGTGAGAGCTGCTCTGGTGTCCGAAGAGTGTCCCTCTCCAGGACAACTTCAGCATTACCTGCCAGGTGACAGTGTGTCCTGCTCTGGCTGTAGCTTTGTAGATGAAGGTTGAGGGCCTCCCTGACAGTGAAAGCAGTCTGGGAAGCCGTTAAGACTTTCAGGCAGAGAGATTATACCTGCTCAGCTCCTGCCTTTCCATGGTAGACCCCAACACTGGCAAGCTGTCTTAACCTGATACATCCTTGTGACAAATACATGGATCAGGCTGACCAGGTCCCACTCTGGGGAAAAAAAGCAAGCAAGCATTCTATGATGACCTGCTTTTTCCTATCCCCAGTGTTAGGAGCTTGTTTGTACGCTGATGGTAGTTCCAAAAGGGGCCATGAGCCCCAGGCAGGCAGTGCTTTTCTTGGAGAGCAGTGCTTCTGAAATGAGAAACAGACAGGGAAAATAAAGACGGACTAAAACATACAAGCAAGGAGAGTTCGGTGGGCCAGTGCCATGGTTTCTTGTTCCTTTTGTGTGGATGGTACCTGACTGCATACCTTAGTGCCCACTTCCACACAACCCAAAGGCTTCGAAGATCATCCTAGTTGCTTCTAATCACAGGGTCGCAAAACACTTTTTTTTAATGTTAATACAAAAATCCAGGACACTAATAAATACATACAACTATCCAGAACATTTCATTATACACTTTTGATTTGCCCACCTCCATTTAGGAGAAAAACAAAATTGCTAAATCTAAAATACTGTTCTTAACTACCACATTCATGCACTCAAACTGGCATGATTTAAGTCCAGCCAGCAACGAAGTACAGTTGAGCGAAGAGCAGACAGTGACACCCTGACTGTTCTGCTTTTCACACAGTAAGCACACCTCTTTCTGATTAAATCACTATCAGTGCAGATTTCGTCACCCAGTGCCCAATATCAGATCTGAACTTTCTGTTTTCAAGCTCTGTTTTCTCAGGGATGGGAGATCCCTGAGATCTAACTAAAAAGATGAGCAATTATAAGGTTGTTTGAATCCCTGTAAGTGTTGGAGCCAAAGACAGTGTGGATCTTGCAGTGTTTAGAGGAAGCTTTGCCTCTCTGACATAGTTTAGTTCCTGGGAGCCATATCCTTTGTCATCATACCTATCCTGTTTGCCCACTTCTCAGCAGGGCTTGTTAGCTGGGTCAGTGGCTGTATTGATATGGCCATCAGAGTTTTTGCTGACTTGGGAGATGGCAGAGAGAACTTTTTCCTAACAGCAGACTTCCAGATAAAACATAGCAAGTCCTGCTGTGAGATTGTCAAGTCCCTCTAACTCAGTGGGTGTCCTATATATTTGAGGTGTCTGCATTGCAACAAGACTTTGCTGAATTCAGTATGTTGACTTTACAGAAGAAAAATCTTGGCACAAGCAGAAGGAAATGGGGGGGGGTGGGGAAGCAAGATGAGATGAACTAGCAGGAGTTTCTGCTCTGACCCCCAGTCCTGTTCTTATACACCTACGTTCCCTGAAAGGTGTCGTGGGGAAATAGGGAAGCAGCTGTGACAGCAGCAACAAGCAGAGACTTTATGTACAGCAAGGAGCTGAGGAGAGGGTGGTTCGTCTCAGCACTCTTTCAAGACACAGCACACCATGTTGCCCATGTAAGAATCATGCTTTTCAGGCACACTCTTGGAAGATCTAGGCACAAGTACAATGAGGTGGTTTGAAATTACTACATATGTCTTCTTGAGATATTTACACTCCGGGGACCACCCACGTCACAGGATGTGTTTGAATTGCTCCCCAAGCTTTCTTCTGGAGTCGAGATGAAATTACAGATTCTTTTTTCGCAGAATGCAAGAAAAATTAGCAACTTTCTGAATTATTACTATTATTACAGAGGTATTTTTCAAAAATAGGTCCCATTATTGAAGACCTTTTAAGCACTGGGGGAAGTCTTTGCACCTCTTCAACTCCTTTAAATGCTGGTTAACCTTAGCTTGTAAAAAAAAATGCATGGAGGGAAAAACAGATTCTTCTTCTTTGTGAACCAGTTTAAGCAAGTTGAGGAAAGGATATGGGAAGAGAGGATGAAATCCCCATTAGAAAAGATGCATTATTTTCTATGTTTACATGACAGTGAAATCCTTGTGGATACTCTTGTGCGGAGACAATATATTTTAGTTTTAATTGTTTCAGTCAATGTCAGTTTTGCATCAAACGTGCAATAAAGTAAAAGTGGCCTTTGGGAAACGTCACTGAACCTTATTTTCTGCTGCAGTACTGCCAGTGTAAACATCTACTTCTGTTTTGTAAACTCAAAGCCAAATGGAGAAAAATTTTCCTTGCAGAAAGATTACTGACCTGTCAGCATCAAAAATATTATTTTTAGCATATAAAAATTGCTTGTCAGTGTTTGTAATAGCAAGAATCTTTGCAAAGTCCATTATTACTCTAGTAAACATTTTCCTTTAGGCAGCAATAGTAGGAAATTTATTAAGAAGTTAGCTGATAGCAACTGGATAAGAAAAAAATACAGTGTCACAGTTACAGAGTTATTGGGATAAAATATATTTCCTTTCTATTTAAATTATTAAATGCTTACAGTAGCTCTGAGAAAACATCAGATGTAAAGCATTTTTGGTAAGTTACAATTTATTCTACTGCTTACTTTCCAGAATGCTAGAAGATGACCTCAAGTTAAGCAGTGATGAAGAAGAGAATGACCAGGTAAGAACCAGACAACTAGCATGTCACTTGTAGCATGTTTCATGTCGAGACTGAGCTACTGCAAATATTTTGCTAATGCTTTTTCAAAACATACATAGAGGTTATCAAAATACATGGCAGTACTGTAACTGGAGTAACAGATGTTGCTTCTCGGAGCCAGGCTCCATGTGCTAACTGCAGGATTGGTAGGGAACAGTCTGCACTGCTCTTGATTTATTACCTTCATGTGACCCAGAAGGTTTTTGTATCAGCTTCCTTCTGATTTGAATTTGTTTTGTTTTAAAGATCAGCCAAGGAGGGGAGAAACTGGAATTCTGGATTAAGGGTTCAAGCCAAACTTTTGCAATCATGAGATGGCCTCAGGGATTAGCTGCTGGGCTGCTTATCTCTTACCTGCCTCTGGCATCCCCCCAGCCCTGACCTCTTCTCTGAGTATTTTGGTTCTGTCTCAGCATGGTCCGTGCTTGCTAAGAAAGCTGAAGGGAACTGAGAAAAAGCCTTGGCTGTGCATTTGGTTCACTCCGTAACACAGTAATTAGGGCAATTGCCTGTGTTTTAAAGACCCCAGACTACCTGACTGGCAGCAGATACATCATCTGAACTTTTCTATGTGTCAGGAGAGCTGGGTTTTGTTGGGAGGTGTCTCCCAGTTTTTCCTTAAATTATTGCTGTGTTTTGTCTAAATAATTAAGAACTCAGTAGAATAAGGCTGAATCTTGACTTTCCCATGACCAGCTGAGTGCCTTGATGCCAAGCAGTGCTATGCCATGCTCTCTCTTTGTCAGTATACTGGCATGGGTGATTTGGTTGGGGATGAGAGGCCAAGAGCCACTTTGGTTCCTTCTTGCCCTAAAATGCATGTCCTGTGCCTTCACCACACAAGAGCAGTACTGCCCCTGGTTGCATCTCACAGATGGATCCAGACTTGGATATAAAATGGTTTTCTGTCCTGGTTTTGGCTGGGATGGAGTTTGTTTTCTTCCTAGTAGCTGGTACAGTGTGACTTGGATTCAGTATGAGAATAATGTTGATAACTCACTGATGTCTCAGTTGTTGCTGAGCAGTGCTTACCCTAAGTCAAGGACTTTTCGTTGTCTCATTCTCTCCCAGTGAGCAGGTGCACAAAAGGCTGGAGAGCTGGTGAGAGATCATGGCCAGGACAGCTGACCTGAACTGGCCAAAGGGATTTCCCTTTGGAAAGGGAAACATCATGTTCAGTACATAAACTGGAGAGAGTTGGCTGGGAGACACCAATTGCTGACTGGGGATGGGCTGGGCATTGGTCACTGGATGCTGGGTAATAGTACTGTGCATCTCTTGTCCTTTCGTGGGGTTTATTTCTTCTGGTTTTGTTGTCTCCCTTTTTATTGCAATTATTACTGTAATATTATAACTCTATTTTATTTCAACTGTTTTTATATCAACTCAGGAGCTTTATAATTTTTTCTTCCTCTCCTCCCCATCCCACTGGGGTGGGGGGGAGTGAGCAACTGGCTGCATGGTACTTCGTTGCTGGCTGGAGTTAAATCAGGCCAGTTTCAAATATGATTATTTCAGTCATGGGTAACTAGAGTTATCTAGACTTGAAATTCAGGATCTTAGACAAATAATTCTAGGTATGTAGGCATGAAGCTCTTCCAGGGTTTTCTTTAACTCTTGTTATTAGATGTCTCTATTTTACAATATATTCCAAACAACAGGTAAAACAAAACTTTTTAATATTTATACTAAACCATTTTTTCATCTATTTTGAGCAAGACTTCTTGGTGTTAAGAAGATTCAGCATGTAGATTTGATTATTTACATATTTATACCATTTCTTTTTGTTTAACGTATTTCATCCTGAAACACTTCACATTTAATTACTCTTCCTGCTTGTCTAGATAGTTTAAAATACAGCTCATAGACAGCATAGGGCAGAGTAAAGTGAGGGACGGAAGGGATGTCTGAAGAATAACAATAGCACACCAATGTACCGTGGTGCTTCCAGCAAGGGGCTGAGTGGGAGGGGAGGGGCGAGCGGGTGGCCAGGAGAGATGGTTTGTCCTTCAGGCAGGGAGATGGGATCCTGAGTAATGGATGTCAGAGTGGAACAAGCTGGCAGAGCCAGAGAGATGAAATTCTAGTTTGCTTCATAGCAAGCAGAAAAGGACATGTGAAAGTGTTTATTGTGCATAAAGAACATTAGTAGGTTTAGGTAAAGAAGGGATTGTGGAAAAATAGCGCTATTCAGGCATGCGCACATGGTGCCTTTGGTTTAGCACTATGACTTATAATTTTTAACATCTTCCATGTGCTTGGATTGCTCAGTGTTATGTGTGCTACGCAGGGTCTCCCCTCGGAAACCAGGGCTTTAAGTTGCAGCTGATAAAGCCTGGGTGTTTCACCTCAGTGCTCAAACAAGCTCCACAGAGCCAAGACAGAGCTTGCCACCCATGCAGCAAAAAGCAGGACTGAGATCCCATTACTCACTTCTAATCATCACAGGCCTTAGCATGAGCAACCTTTGGAGATTACTTATTTTGTCCCCTTTCCTAGTCACATTTTTTTTCTGACTTGACCCTACAGACAAAGATCTTCCGGAGGCACAGGCTGGCTCCTGCTCTATGAAATGCTTTGCAGAACCTCAGCTGAGACTTGCAGGTTTGCTTAAAGAACAGTCCTAAATAAATATGCCTGGTGGATAAACAAAACACTACGTTTTCATCCACCTAGCAGGAAATAGACCCAAAAAAGAATAACACAGACCCTCTCTGCCATCAAACGCTCAGATGGGAACATGGATCTGTGTTTAAATGTCAGTAGGAGAACTTGTTTCCTTTTACTTCCTAACTCAGAGGCTCTTTAGTCTCCTATCTCCTGAGCTTGGGAACAGTAAAGAAAGAAACCAAAGATAAATGGATAAGAACAGCACATGAGGCATTCCCAGATATTCCTCATGTAATTCGTTAACCTTTGAGCAGTCAGACTCATTCAATTAGTCCAGTTTCTCAAAGAGCTGAAGGTGAGCTGTACAAAAATTGGGAAGCTTTTCATTTCGCTGATTTATAAATGGAGAAGTTTAGGGGAAAGACTTTGAAAGCTTTGGAGGAGATTTTGCATTTACATCTGAAATTGCCAAGCAGCAAACAGGAAGTTTCTGAAGCAATGCAAAGGTGCTTCTGTGCTCCCAGGGCTGGCATTTGAAGGGCTGTGACTGACCCAAGGAATGTGAGCCATGGATGAGGGAGGCCAAATGCAAGACAGAGACATGATTAAGTGCTTCAAGACTGCAGTGGGCAAAGCATTCCCAGCCCTTCCCTCTGTACCAGCAATTAAGGTAGTGAGATTCACAGACCCAGGAAAAGAAAAAGAGGCTTGGTTTGAGCTGAGTATGTGTGCACCCACAGTAATTATATTATCCACACATATTAGTCTCTTAATTTTAATTACATAAATGTATTTTTCCTCTTTAATGAGCATAGTTTATCCATTTAATCTGATCATTTCAATTTTACAGGCAGTGATCATAGGATCTAATATGCAGAGAGAAAATTTCCTGTTGGCATATTTTACACCACACAGATTGAAGAAAATACACTTTTTAATCCTCAATCAATATCTGAAGAGCATGCAATTAACAGATACCAAGGTAGTTAACATAAATCTGCAAGTTAAAGAGCCAATTCATTTTGATTTATAACACATAGAGTAATAATTTCATCATCATCTCTCCCAGAAAGCATCTGAAGCTTTGTAGCATGAAGGTGTCAAAATTGTACTTAAGATTGTTCAGAGTGCTGAATTGTAGTGGTTATTGCCTTTTGGTTCTTTGAAGTGTGGCATAGCACATGAAACAGTCCCCATTATAATATACCCTGCTCTTCTCCATAGAGGTCACTGGATAACTTATATCAGTCTTGGGTGAAATATTGAAAGGAGATTGTCAATTGTAATATGAACAATTCTCTTTTTCCCCCCCACTTGTCCTTTTACAGCATGAACATTTTGTAGTAGAAAGTAGTTCTTTTAAGGGGAAAAAGATCCCTGGCATCATCTGTGCAATTCATGTCACTCAATAGCCAAATAAATTAACTGACTGGTACGCATACATGGAATAATAATCTAACATATTTTTGCAACCCAAGTCTGTTTCCTTGTATGCATTTTTTTCTGTGCAGGATCAGGTTGGTTACTGCTGAAGTTTTGTGGCTGTGAAAATTTATTACCCACAGAGTCAATCTGCATTCTGGCTGCCAAGTCTGAATAAATAGAGTCATTGTGCTTGTGTGGAATATGTAACCAAAGTTCATCGAGTCAGCTTGACTTTCACATCCCATGGGATTCATAAAAGCCAACACCCTGGTATGTGCTCTTGATTCCTGCCAAAATTTTGTAAAATTGTATAAACAGAAGTTGAAGAAGCAATCATAACACACTCCCAGGAACATGGCTCTGCACTCCAGCCCTGGCTGATCTCAAAAGGGAAGACACAACTTCAATACTCTTTTTTTTTTTTTCAAAGAAAAAAGAGCAGTATGACTATGCTCCTGTGTGAGCAGGTAGATGTGGGAGCTAAAAATGCCCCCCCACAGAGTGCACAGGGAGGCAGCAATCAATCCTCTCAGGTTCCTTGATTTTGCTCATGTGCCCTGCACTGAAGGAAGAGAGCAGGCAGCATTTGCCTGCAAGCAGCTGCCCTCCTCAAAAGGGACAGGTACAGACTGGCCCTGTGGGGTCTGAGTGGTGTGAGCAAAACCAGCCCTTCCACAGGCAAGCCAAGGCAAACAGAAAGCCATGTGATTTCACAGGAGACCTCGGGGGAAGAGCAGCCTCAAGAAAGTTCACAGCTTCAGGACAGTAACATAAAAGTCTTGTCAGTTTGGTCTGGCTGGCCACCCAAAGCCCCACAGGGTGATGGCAGCCCACCCAGCCTGGTGCCCTCATGAGGATCCTGGGGTTGCCTCCCATGGCAGCCTAGGGACAGTGAGGGTGGGTTGCTGGCCCTGGGAGATCTGTCC